GATTGAGATGAGGTCTCATGACCTTTTTTGATAGGGCTGGCCTCAATCATGGTCCTCCAGATCCCTGCCTCTGAGTAGCTTGTATTACAGACTTAGCTATCAGCACCTGGCTTATTTTTTTAATAACCTGTCTTTAGTCTTGCTTGGAGTTCATGTCAGATCACTCTGGTGTATAGTATGGGGCATCTGCTCATTGTCTCTCTTTTTTTTTTGCAGTACACCAACACTTTTTTTGTGTTGGGTATTTTTGAGATAGGGTCTCACAAACTCTTCACCTGGGCTGGCTTCCAACCTCGATCCTCCTGATCTCTTCCTCCTGAGTAGCTAGGATTATAGGCGTGAGCCACTGGTGCTTGGCAGAAGTGTGCATTTTTAACATATAACTCAACTTATCCTTTTAACAGTTAAGCTTGCCATACTTTTATATTTGATCATAAATATAGTAAGATACTAAGAACAAAATGACTCAATGTATAAATAGAAGTATAAATCGTATCAATAATATTTACTAAGCACATACAAGAGAATTCATCCCTTCAAATACTTTGTTTCATTGAAATGAATTAAATACATGAAGTAATTGGAGAATAAATAAAATGCTAAATTATACATTGGCAGCAACTACTTAGAATCTGTCAGAGCAGATTTTTCTGATCTGTACCCAGTTTACCTCTGAGAAAAGAGATTTTTGTACTTCCAAATTGGTTCTTCTTGAATGTGGTTTTTTTTTTGGGGGGGGGAGTCAGGGTGGGGAACAGGCAGGGGCCTAGAGCTGTATTTACCAGTTATCTTTGCCTCCATCTCTGTGGAACTGAGGTTACTCTTTTTGCTCCGCGGTAGAGTAGAAATGAAATGCAGCAAGAGCATGGATAATTTAAATATACTTGAGGCTTATATATTTAAAAATCTCTAATGAGGAAATATAGTCTTATGTGTTTGGTTTGGCTGTACTGTTTTGAGTTAATTTTAGAGCTAACTTTTAGAATCAGTTTTAGTCCTGGAGGCTTAGGTGTAATGCTACATGATGCTGAGACTGAAAACTGATGCTATATATTAGCCTTGCTAGGCAGTGACATTTGAGAAGAGAAAACAAAAACAAAAAAACAAAACACAAAACCCTACAATAATAAAGGTTGAGCTGTTACTATGTTGCAAAATCCTGTTTGCCTTGATTCTTGGTAATCTTCGCTAATCTTTCAAGGAATCATCAGATGTGATGTATTTGAGGATGATACAGCAATAAAGTCTTCCAAAGATTAGCACTATGTTTTTTCAGTTTTGTGGTATTTTGCTTTATTGTCTATGCTATTTATTGCTGTGGGAACTGGTAGCTCCCTGATTTTGAGAGGTACTGGGACAACATACTGGAAAACTCTGTGGTTCTGAGTTTGTAACAGTCTCCAAGGAACAATAGTATGTTTCACCTGAAAAATTAATATAGAATAGGAAGGATTTCCCTTTTTTTTTTTTTTTTTTCTTTTGCAATACTGGGGCTTGACCTCTACCAGCCCTTTATCTGAGCCACTCCACAAGCCCTTTTTTGTAATGGGTTTTTTCAAGATAGGGTCTCTCGAACTATTTGCCTGGGATGACTTTGAACTGTGATTCTCCTGATCTCTACTTCCTGAGTAGTAGGATTACAGGCTGTTTCTTTTTTCATTGTTTTTGGCAGCACTGGGGTTTGAACTCAGGACCTCACACTTGCTAGGCTGGGGCTCTACCACTTAAGCCACTCTGCCAGCTCTGTCCCCACTCTTTTTTTTTTTTTTCTTTTATTATTCATATGTGCATATAAGGCTTGGGTCATTCTGTCCCCACTCTTAATCACCCAGATGAGCCTTTGCAGTATTTTTTTTTTTTAGCCACTATGGATTATCTAATAAAAACTGATTTGCAATGTTAAATAAACAAAAATGTCTTTTTTTAAAAAAATGTAAAAATAGAGAACAGCAAGGCAAAACAGATCCTGTCTGGGGGGGTTGGTACCAGTGGGAAGGGGGAGGATATAAGGAAAGGGTGTAGGAGGGTGAATATGGTAGAAATCCTATGTACAAATGTATATAAATGGGAAAAAGAGACCTGTTGAAACTATTCCAGGAATAAGGGGAGTGGGGATAAAGAAGAATAATGGAAGGGGTGAATTCAACTATGACATGTTATAAGAAATTTTGTAAATGTCACAGTGTGCTCCCCAGTACAATAATAATTTTAAAAAAGAGAAAAAAATATACTAATTTGCAAACCAGGCTCATTTAGTATGTGTGAGGCCCTTAATTTTATCTCCAGCACCGTGAAATAAACAAAAACAAAGATTTATGTTTGTCAACATGCTAACACATCTACAATCCTAGCACTCTGGAGGCTGAAGCAATAGGTTTGGGAGTTTGAGGCCAGCCTGGCTACATAGCAAGACCCTGGCTCAAAAAAGCAAAACAAGGGGCTGGTGGAGTGTCTCAACAGGTAGAGTGCCTGCCTAGCAAGCGTGGGGCCCTGATTTCAAACCTCAGAACCACCAAAAATGAGCCAGGCACTGGTGGCTCATACTTGTAATCCTAGCCACTCAGGAGGATCTCGGTTTGAAGCCATCCCTGGGCAAGTAGTTTGAGAGACCCTATTTTGAAAAAACATATCACACAGGGCTGGAGGAGTGACTCAAGCAGTAAGAGTGCCTGCCTACCAATGTGAGGCCCTGAGTTCAAACCCCAGTCAGTGCTGCCAAAAAAAGAAAAGAACAAACCTAAACCTGATTTGCATTCAGGCTAACTGTATCCAACTAATCATATCTGTCCTTCCTATTTAGACATTATCAGAAAAGAAAGTTTCTTTATCTTCCCTCCTCCCTTTTTTAAGTGTTCATACCATTAAATTTGTACAGTATTATACTTGTGTGTGTTAGGCCAATAATCATGACATTTGCTGTTTGTTTTGTTTCCCAATGAGTATTTGTAAAGTCTTGAAAATTCTTGGACTAGTAGTGTAGTTCAGTGGTAGAATGTTTGCCTAGCAGGCATGGGGAAGCCCTGGGTTAGAGCTCCAGCACCATGAAAAAACAAAAAGATTCACTTATCTACTGGGTGTGGTGGTATGCACCTGTAATCCCAGTACTTGGGAGGTTCACAAGTTAGAGGTCAGCCTGGACTACATAGCAAGACCTTTATCAACAAAAAAACCATAGCCAAAGATTCACATGTTTCTATCTCCAGCACTGTCTAACACCCCCCCACACACATACAAAGTGCACATTGAAATATACATTGAAATGCACAAACTTAAACTGTACAGTTCTAACTATGTAGCACACCATTGTTCTCTTTATCTTTAGTTTTGCCTGTTTTAGAATGTTGTGTCATGCATTATATGTTCTTTGAGTCTAGCTTTTTGTGTGTGTGTGAGGTTTTTTTTATCTGTGAGATTTATCTGTGTTGTTGCTTTCCTTTGTTTTCTGAGGTGTAGTCCGTGGCATGAATATAAGCATAGTTTGTGTGTCCATTCTCTTAATTGTAAACTTACGGGTTCTTTCAGTTTTGCTTTAATGCTGTGGTATTTTCATTTCTCTTGGATGAATACCCACGAGTAGATTGCTGGGTCAATGGATAGACACATGGTTAATTTGAAAAACGACTAACCCTTTTTCTAAAGTCATCATTTTACATTTCTATTGGCAAAGTATGAGTCTTGCTGCTTCACTTTCTTGCCAATGTTTGGGTTGTCAGTCTTTTTAATTTTAGTTGCTCTAGCGAGTACTTACACATGTTCCAAGGAAGTTAAAATATATTTCAGTTTGAGAGTTTTATGGCTTGAGATAATTGGAGTACCCTATAACATGGTGTATTTCTTAAGTGTGTGCATTTTGAAAATTTTGAACTAGAGTGAATGCTAATCAGGATTCAGGATAAGACCCAGAATATCCTTGCCCACTAATCCATGTAGATGAAGGAACGAAGACTCAAGGGAGCTTGCCTAAGATTTGCCTAAATTTGTAGGGATTGAAGCTTAGGACTTCTGACCTAGTCCAGTATTCTTCCTCTAGCACCTCACAATGGATGTGTGTCTTTGGTTTACAAGTTTAGGAGGGCCATCTCAAAACTAGTTGTATTCCACAGAATGTTGTATCACCTTGCAATATTTGATTTTTCCTTTTCTTGTGACTTGTTTTTTATTTATTTTGTCAGAGTTTTGCTCTGTTGACTAGAAGTTTCAATTCTTCTGCCTTAGCCTCCCCAGTAACTGGGATTATAGGCAAGCCACTCTTGCGCCTGGCTTTCATTTGGCTTTTATGGAATTCTAAAAGCTGTTTTAGTCTTTATTGTAGATCAGCTAATGTTGCTATTATAGTTTCCTTTTTTAGAACAAATACATTACAGAGTGTAATGGTCCATTTTGTGTTGCTTTAACAAAATACCTAATACTGGGTAACCAGTAAATGCTGGTGATTGAGAGCAGGGCATTGGCATAGGTTCAACTCTGTTGAGGGTCACTTGATAGATGGAATCACCTGATGAGGAAGCAGGTGAGAGTGATGAGAAATGGTTTTTTTTTTTTTTTTTTTTTTAGAGAGATGGGGTCATGCTGCAATATTGCCTAGGCTTGTCCTGAACTCCTGGGCTGAAGTGATCCCCGTCTCAGCCCTGGTGCTTGGGTTACAGGCATGAAGCACCATGCCCAGTGAGAAATGCATTTAGAAGGGAGATTAAGGAGAGATGCTAAACACTCTTATAATAGCCCTTTCTCTCAGGAGCTAATCTAGTCCCATGAAACTTTCATTCATTCACTGCCCTTTTGATGGTGGTGCCCCCCATGAGTGAATTATCTTCCACTAGACCGCATCTCTTCAAGAGGTCACTGCCACACTGATGACCAAGCTTATAGCATATGCTTTTTGGGCAATGCACACAAACCATAGGCAAGCAATAACCCTGTGTGTCCTAGATTTGCATTTTGGAACTCTGCACATAATTTCAGAGTCCTCTCAGGAACCCCTGTCTATGATTCCTCAAATAATGTCTTTGGACAGGTAGGTGGTTAGCAGTGAATATCCGTCATCACCTACATTTTTTGTAGTCAGAGGGACTACATCACTGCAGGTGATCTGTACTTAATGGTTTGGATGAAGCTCTGCCAAGGTAAATAATGTTTATGGCTTTCCAAAGCAAATTGCAGTGACATTTTTTTTCAACAGTGAATCTGCTTTTGCCCCATTGTCAGATATCCGTATAAGTCATTTGTTCGTTCTATTTTAGTGATGTCCTCGCACTGCCCATTTTTAAGCAAGAAGAGTCAAGCTTGCCTCCCGATAATGAGAATGAAATTCTGCCTTTTCAGTATGTACTCTGTGCCGCCACTTCTCCAGCAGTGAAACTCCATGATGAAACCCTGACATATCTCAATCAAGGTTAGATGCTTCCTCATTCATTAGTATTATTGCAGACCTGCTGGATTTGTGACATTTGAGCAGGGACACTTACATGTAAAAGGTTAGATCTTTCAGTGGGATCTGCAAACTAAAATCCTTACTTCAGAGATTTGAGTTTTAATGCTGAACTTGATATATATTACTGGCTCCTTTTGTCTACTTACCTCCCTCTTTTTATTTCATGTTTCCTGTATATCCCCACTGGTTATTATCTCAGAATTGTTAAACTATCCAGCTCTGCTGTTTACCAGTTAAGTGGTCTTGAATAAGTTGTTTAAAGTCTTTGTTTCAGTTTCCTTTTTTTTTTTTAGGCTTTATTTTATTTGAATTGACACATAATTATACATATTTATGGAGTACATTGTGATATTTTGATATATTTCTACATTGTGCAATGATCAAATTAGAGCAATTAACACAGCCATCACATCTAATATTTATCATTTCTCTTTTTTTTTATTTTTTATTTTATTATTCATATGTGCATACAAGGCTTGGGTCATTTCTCCCCCCTGCCCCCACCCCTGTTTCAGTTTCCTTATCTGTAAAGATGGGATTGATAACACCTTAGGAAGTTGTATCAGTCACATGAAGTAATGTATGAAAGTACTTAGCACAATGTCTGGTGTCCAGCAGAGGTCATAGTTGTTACTAATAATGTTACCTTATATCTTCAGCCAACTCAATTTTATCCTTTCTGAATCTAAGTAAGTTAATTTGTGACAGGTATAATTTGTAACTACTTTTTCCCCTAGGACAATCTTACGAAATTCGAATGCTAGACAATAGGAAACTTGGAGAACTTCCAGAAATTAATGGCAAGTTGGTGAAGGTAAAAGAAAATGAATAAATCATTCTTCTGTACAATATCTAATTTTTTTTGCTTCCATAAAGGTATCTTTTTATTTTTTATTTTTTGTGCTACTGGGGTTTGAATCAGGGCCTAGGGCTTGTTAGACAGGCATTCTAGCTCTTGAGCCATGTCCTCATCCATTTTTATTTTTTTTTAATAGGGTCTTGAAGTTATGTACAGGGTAGGGGGAAGCTGAACTGCAATCCTGTTCCTGCTTCCTACATAGCTGAAATGATAGCCACATGCCATCATGCTCAACTTTGTATTGGTTGAGATGAGGTATTGAGGACATTTTGGTGGACTGACATTGAATAGCCATTCTTCTGATGTCTATCTCCTGAGTAGCTAGAATTGTAGGTGTGAGCCACCATGCCTGGCTTAAATGGTATATTTTATCTGCCAAAATTGGCTGGCTATTAAAGTAAGAATAACAAAAGGAAAGTTGTTGGAAATGGGCCCTATGAACCCTTGAGCGTTTATAGGTACATGGTAGGTTAGCAAGCAGCAGATGTGTTTCACATATCTGAAGTGCTGAGCCATACATTACATAGTATAATAGTAGAAGCATGTAAAAATGTTTCACATAGAAGTTGTATAATGAATATAAGTCAGAGGTGGTGCTGCATGCCTGTAATCCCAGCATTTAGGAGGCTGAGGCAGGAGGATCAAAGAGTTTGAGGCCAGCCTGGGGTACATAGCAAGATCCTGTCTGAGAAAAAATAAAAATTACAGACTATAGATGATCCCAGCCCACTGTAGGTTGATGCAGGAGGATTATGAATTCCAGACCAGCAAGCTCCTGTGCACCACCCCCCTTCCAAAAAAAAACCCCAAACCAAGAAACGCCCAAAACAAACAAAGATTATATATGAATGAGCTTGGATGGCACTTGTTTTAGAGGGAAATAGGTTCTAAATAATTTTAGGATTGTGTCTGGAAACTAAGTGTCAGTGACTCTTCTAGTTTTCCTTTTCAGCACTGATTTCAAGGGACTTTGTTAATAGACTTTGTTGTTCTTTTCAGAGTATATTCCGTGTGGTATTCCATGACAGAAGGCTACAGTACACAGAACATCAGCAACTGGAGGGCTGGAAATGGAACCGACCAGGAGACAGGATTCTTGACATAGGTGAGTTAAGATAACATGTTGGTTAGGATGTACCTTTAACTATGGACTGAGAATTGGTTTTCTTTACTTGACATTTACCTTGATTCATATGCTGTAGATGCTCAATTAGCATGAACCTTGAAGTGATTGTTTTTCTAAGCAGAAAAAATTACTTGTAAGTAATCAGAATTGAAGTAACAAAAAGGAATATTGCAGTTCCCTAGCAATTGCATCCATTACTTCAGAGTGGCTTTGTTTTGTTTTAAATTGTGGTAAAATATTATTATTTAAGCTTATTTATTTGTTGAGTGAGTGAGTGAGTGAGTTAGTGATACTGGGGTTGGAACTCCGGGCCTTACGCTTGCTAGGCAGGCACTCTTACCACTTGAACCACTCCACCAGCCCTTTATTTTAGCCATTTTTAAGTACTATGGTTCATACTATTAAATACATTTACTTTGTGCAGCCATCACCACCAACCATCTCCAGAACATTTTTCATCTTGCAAAACATACTCCATATGCATTAAACTGTAACTGTTCATTCCCCATCACCCCAGTACCTGGTAACCTCTTTTTTGTTTCTATGAATTGGACTAGGTATCTCATGTAAACGAACTCATACAGTATTTGTCCTCTTATGACTGGCTTCTTTGATGCAGAATAATGCCTTAAAGGTTTATCCATATAGTTGCATGTATCAGAATTACCTTCCTTTTTAAGTTTGAGTAATATTCCATTGTAAGTGTACACTACATTTTGTGTAACTGTTGATGGATACTTAGGTTGCTTCCATCTTTTGGCTATTATGAATAATGCTGCTATTTCTTTGGGTCTGTGCTGTCATTGCTTTTGGATATATATGCACAAGTAGGATTGCTACATCATGGTAGTTCTATTTAAACATTTTTTTGAAGAATGATGTATTTTCCACAGTGGCTGCACATTTTACATTTCCTTGCCAATATTTTTTACTTTCTTTTAAAAAATTATTTTCTTTGTGCTGCTGAGGGTGGAATCCAGGGCCTCTTACATGCCAGGCAAATGCCTTATCACTAAACTACAACCCCAGCCCAAATTTCTATTTTTTTTTTATATATATATAATAGCTATTCTAGTGGGTTTAAAGTGGTATCTCATTGTGTTTTGTTGTTATTATTGTTTTGTGGTGGGACTGAGGTTTGAAAACTCAGAGCTTTGCACTTGTAGAGCAGGTGGTCTACCACTTCAGCCATACCTCCAGTCCATTTTTGCTCTGGTTATTTTGGAGAGGGAGTCTTTCAAACTGTTTGCTCAGCTGGCCATGTACTGTGATCTTCTGGAGCTCACCCTCCCAGATAGCTAGGATTACATGCTTGAGTCACCCGGCTAATTGTGATTTTGATTTAATTTTCTCTGATGATTAGTGACATGGAATATCTTTTCATATGCTTATTAACCATTTGTATACCATTTTGGGGAAAATATTCAAGTCTTTTGCCCATTTTTAAGTTACTGTTGTAGGATGTATATATCATATGCAAATATTTTTTGCCATTCTGGGGGTGCCTTTTAACCATGTCAGTAATATCCTTGATGCATAAAAGTTTTAAATTTGGTGGTCCAATTTGTCTATTTTTTAAAATTTCCTATGCTTTTGGTGTTATATCCAAGAAATCATTGCCATATCTAGTGTTTAAAAGCTTTCCCTGTATGTTTTCTTCTAAGAGTTTTATAGATTTAGGTCTTACATTAATCTGTTTTTTGTATATGGTATAAGGTAAGGGTCCAACTTCATTATTTTGCATGTGCATGGATATCTCAATAGCATTTGTTGGAAAAGGTCATTCTTTCCCCATTGAATGGTCTTGGCACCTTTTTTTTCTTTTTTTGTGGTACTGGGGCTTGAACTCAGGGCCTACACCTTGAGTTACTCTACCAGACCCTTTTGTGTGTGTGTGTGTGTGTGTGTGTGTGTGTGTGTGTGTGTGTGTGTGTGTTTCGGGTTTTTCGAGATAGTGTCTCAAGAACTGTTTGCCTGGTGTGGCTTCAAACTGGCTTCGATCCTCCTGATCTCTGCCTGCTTGGTAGCTAGGATTACAGGCATGAGTCACGAGCTCCTGGCACATTAGACTATATATTTTTTGTTGTTTTGTTAGTTTTTTAGATGGGGATCTTACTATGTTGCCTGTGTTGCCCAGGCTGACCTCTAACTCTTATTTATTTATTTTTTTGGCAGTATTGGGGCTTGAACTCAGGGCTTCACGCTTGCTAGGCTTTGGTCTATCACTTGAGCCACTCCAGCAGCCCTGTTTTTTATTGGGTTTTTTTTAGATAAGATCTCACATACTATTTGCCTCAAGATGGTTTGGAAACACATCCTCCTCATCTCTGCCTCCTGAATAGCTAGGATTACAAGTGTGAGCCACTGGTACCCTAGCTCACACCTCTAACTTTTGATTCTCCTGCCTCTGTACCCCTTATAGCTAGGACTATAGGTGTGTACTACCACATTTGGCAGTATGTCTACCTATGTGCCTGTGCCCACTGCTTTGATGACTGTAGCTTTGTAGTATGTTTTAACATCAGGAAGCATGAGTCCACCAATTGTTCTTTTTCTATTTTATTTTGACTATTGGGCTATGATATTTCGTTTTGAATAGTATGTAAAGGGGGCCAGATTTTTTCCCCAACATGCTGAACGTTCCTTGATTTTACTCATGCTTGAGGACCAGATTAATTATATGCTTCTACCTAAAATAGGAATTCTGGGATTAGAATATGATGTCTCTTGGTTTGCGGTTTCAATTTTTTCCTACTACTTTGCTTCATAGAATAGAATTTGCTTTTCCTAAGTAATAGGATATAAGGAAAGGATCTTCATAAATACACATACAGTCTCTTTTCCTGAATGTACTTTTAATCCTGGCATCTATGAGTTTGATCTCCAGTTGGTTAATATTTCTTACCAGTAAGCACAGTTGTTAAATAATTTAAGTACTATTAACTTTACCTGACAAAACACTGGTTCTCATAGATATATTCTAAAATCCGTATGAGGAAATTGGCCTTTGGATGAACCCAACACAATTACTGTGGAGTGGGACCTACTTACTGCCTTATCATTTGAATAATTGATGCCAGAACAGTAGTGTAGTAATAGCACAGTTATGATAATAAATAATATCACCTAGGCTTATCTCCCCAGTTTGAATATTAATAGAAGAAACTAGGGAATGGTATATGAGTATCTGCCATGTGATATACAGAGCAAGGTTCTACCAAAACCCATTAAGTTTTGCTTCCCTCTTGAGTGTGAAATTTGTCACTATGTTACAGGATTAGTTTATGATTTGGTAAGTTAACATCAATCTTTGTGTTAGATTTTTCCCTCTTCTGTCTGTGATATATTTTCTCCATTCAGCTTTCTGGAGGCTGGGGTAGCAGGATTAAGAGTTTTGAACTAGCCTGAGCTATGTAGCAAGACTCTATTTAAAAAAAAAAATTACAGTTTTCATGATAGTAAAGCTAGTATGTTGACTTAGTCCATTTTTAAATAGAATTTTGGCATTTGAAAGGAAACTGTCTTTTTTTCATTTTTATTAGCTTATAGTCATTGTATAGGGCATTCATTGTGCCAATTCCCAATAGTCTTGCATTGTACATTGTTAGATCACCCCCGCCATCTCCGGCAACCCCCACCCCGCCCCAGTTAAAGCAATTGCAAGAGGTTTCATTGTTCTAATTCATGTATGTATATGAAGTCCACCAACCATATTCCCTCACCTTCATCTCCTTTCACAAATAGCCCCCTTCCCTCCCCAGGAAACTGTCTTTTAAATTACCTTATTTAAAAAATAAACAACTTTTTTTTGTGATACTAGGGGTGAACCCAGTGACCTTACACATGTAGGCAAGCATGAGCTTTAACACTAGCCTTTTAAAAATGTTTAAACTTGAAGAAAACGTACTCAGAAGAAGATGCTTAAGTGAATTTAACTCTAATCAAAACTTTTTCATTGGCACAAAAGAAGTTTAAAATGAGGTATATAAAAATCTTAGTAACTGTGGGTGAACTTTCTTACTTAAAACCAAGTAGCCATTGGGTATGGTGGCATTTGCCTGTAGTCTCATCTACTTGGACTGTTGAGGCAGAAGGATCGTTTGGATCCAGAAGTTTGAGATCATCCTAGACAATATAACCATCTCAAAAAATAAAAACCAAAGAGCCTCAGAATTGTTTATTGATTATGATTTTGTTTCTCAGATATCCCAATGTCTGTGGGTATAATCGATCCTAGGGCTAATCCAACCCAACTAAATACAGTGGAGTTCCTGTGGGACCCTGCAAAGAGGACATCTGTCTTTATTCAGGTAAGCCATTGCAGATGGCATTCCAGTTTGTTTCTTAAAGGAGAAGATGTGTTAAACTTGAAATCTTTTTCTTTTTTTTTTTTCTTTTGCACTGCACTGGAGATCAAACCCCGGGCCTTGCTCCTGCTAAGCATACATTATACCACTGAGCCACTAAGTTTGAAATCTTTTCATGGTTCTAGTCTGTCAAGTGCAGACACCTCAACATGTGCCTGGGCACTGAGGAATTTTTGAATTGCTCTTCTGATTTCCCCAGTTTGTCTTCTTGTATCTTTCCAAGTGTGCTAATGGCTGCATAATATATCATTCTGTGGTTTTATCATAACTTAACTAATGTTTATTTAGCTTATAAATTGTTCTAATTTTTCACTGTTATCCATAAAGTTATTTTGAACATCTGCATGCTTAACATTTGATTTATATATCCTTTGGGGATTTTTAAAAAATCTTTATTAGTAATATGATTGCCAATAGTTTATTGAGTACTTAACATTTAGATATTCCCTATGTTAAGTAAACACTTTGTATGCAGATTTTAAGACTATGAACTATAGTCCTGTGAAGCATGAATAGTCTTTGAGGCTTGGAATGATTAAGTAACTTAACCCAAGCAAATAAGTAATCAATCAGACAGGGTTCCACTATTTAATTCACTAGTCTTTTACATACTGAAAGCTGTTTAATAACAGATAGTAGGAGGAAAAGTGTAAGAGAAAGTAATAAAGAGGGTTAAACTGACCAAAGTACAGTATATTCCTAGCTGAGATATATTGAGAAATGCCTTTCAACACTGACTTTGGAATTAAAAATGAAGGAAAGGACCATCATAAGTCCTATGATGGGGGTGGGTACTTGTGGCAGGGAGAAGTGAATGGAGAGAATAAAGGAAGGCGAATATGGCAGATGGCAATGAAACCCTTTGCAATTGTTTTAAGTAGGGTGGGGGAGGGAGATGAGGGAGAAAGATGGTGGGGGGAGGACAAGCCTAACCGATGTGCAATGTAAGCATATTCAGAAATGTCACAATGAATCCCCCCTGTACAACTAATGTATGCTACTAAAAATGCTTTGAGGGAGAAAAATCACCAGTCTTAGACTTTAGGCAGTAGTCATGCAAATCACTGCCCTTTCTCTCTTCCTGCCCACTCTACACATCTGTGAACTTTAATATTTACTATTTTCCCAGCACGTGTTGTGTCTCCTGTTTCTAAAATCTACCTTAATGGCAAAACTTTACTAAGAGAAACCATTTCTCTTTATATAACTATATTTTTTGAGGCAGCAAATAAATTTAGTTCCTCATACTAGCTTTCATAATATTAGATCTGTACATTTACTGTGTTTGCATTTGTAAATCATTTAAAATTTTCTCATTTCATTCATTGGATTGTAAGTTCTTCAAGGTCAAAAAGAGGAAACATTTTTTATAGTATTCATAGATGCCTACTAAAAATTTTGCTGTTAGTAGTTGCTCAAAAAATATCACTGACTGGACTGGCAGAGTGGCTCAAATGGTACCTGCCTAGCAAGCATGAAACCCTGAGTTCAAACCCCAGTTACCACCACAAAAAAAAAAAAAAAAAAAAAAAAATCACTAGCTGGTTTGGCTTGCTAGCAGTACTGATGCTTTGATGTTGTATTATTTTCAGGTACATTGTATTAGCACAGAGTTCACTATGAGGAAGCATGGTGGAGAAAAGGGGGTGCCATTCCGAGTACAAATTGATACCTTCAAGGAAAATGAAAATGGGGAATACACTGAGCACTTACACTCAGCCAGCTGCCAGATCAAAGTCTTCAAGGTATTCCCGGTCCTTGAATCCTTTTTCCTTGTTATTCTATTTTAAAGTAAGTTACCAAGTTAGAAAGTCATCTTATCTTTTTGCAAAAACTATGCAAATTCTTTCTAAGCTGGAGTCATTGAAATATTTGCTAAGATGCTTGGTAAAGTAAGTTGTGTGGAGATGGGCATGGGATAATGGGAATTGGGAAAGGAGGCCAAAGACAAAATCATGTATTCTCATTGAAGTCTGGTGAAGTTATAAGCTCTTTGAAAGCTCACAAAATTATGGAGAGTTGAATTTTTTGGATACATTCATAATTGATCTTCTTTCCTTATTTTGGTCTTTATTTTATTTATTTATTTATTTATTTATTTATTCACTCATTCATTCATTCATTTATTTATTTTTGTTGGTACTGGGTGAGGTTTTAAACTCAGGGCCTCATGCTTGCTAGGCAGGTGCTGTACCACTTGAACTATTACTCAGCTCTTTTTGCTTTAGCCATTTTTTTTATATAGTGTCTCACCACCATGCCAGGTTTGTTTGTTGAGATAGGGACTTACTAACTTTTTGCCTGGGCTGGTCTAGAACCACTATCCTCCTAATCTCTCCCTCCTGAGTAATTGGAATTACAGGCATGTACCACCATATGCAGTTTAGGTCTTTATTTTTATCAGAATAAATATATTCTCATTGCAAGAAATTTAATAATATAATAGAATTCAGAAGGGAGAACACTAAATCCCTCACTTAACTCTACCCTTGATTCCCTAACCGACCCAGAGGTAAGCCATTTGTCATAACTTGGTAAGCATGCTCTGGTCACCTTCTGTGGTTTTATAACACATGCATAGGTATATGCATATTTCCTTTCTTTGAAACATACATGGGATTATACAATATGAATTGTTTTGACTTTTTTTTTCAGTTGAATATGTACTTTAATGATCTTTCCATCTGTCTTTTTTTTTTTTTTTATTAATTTTCTGTGGTGGTAAGGAGTAAACTCAGGGCCTTGCACATTACTAGGCAAGCATTCTACCCACTGAGCACATTACTCGCTCCTTTTTATTTTTTACCTTTGAGACCAGGTCTCATGATGTAGCCCAGGCTGGCCTTAAACTTGCAATGTTTTAGCTTCTTGAGTAAGCTGATTGTAGGTGTGTTCACCATGCCCATCTGTCATTGTTTTCTAGAATTCCATTCCCATCATTTAAATTTTCTATTTTCCAGACTTTAGATGGTGATAAACACCTTGTCTTTGCATCATTGTGCATAAATGTTTGTTTCATATGTGAAGGTTTATGTTTTTTAAAAGGGTGAGTTTACTTTGGTTTTGAAACAAATTTCTCATTTCAAGCAAAAGGTGCAGGACCAGAAAGCAAAAAACAGGATAGAGAGAAAAATGGAGAAACGAACACCAACACGAAAGGAGAATATACCAACCTTCTTATGAAAACCAACTATTCTCACAGAGGTAAAAGGATTTCTTTCCTTTCTTTTTTATTTATTTATTTATTTTTTGTGGTACTAGGGCTTGAATTCAGGGCCTACACCTTGAGCCACTCCACTAGCCTATTTTTGTGATGGGTTTTTCGAGATAGGGTGTCACAAACTATTTGCCCGGGCTGGTTTCCAACTGAGATCTTCCTGATCTCTTCCTCCTAGCTAGGATTATAGACATGAGCCACTGGTGCCCATTGTAAAGGGATTTCTTTTGGTGACAATTTCAGTCCATAATTTTAACCTTTGTTATTGTTGTTGTTGTTGTTGCTGGTAGGCAGGCACTCTTAACAAACTGAGCTACATTTCTGGACCCCTTAAGTTTTCACTTTAGAATAAAAAATCTACTACTTCCAGCCTAGTTTAAATTTCCTTCTGTACATTATTCTCTTTTGCTATTATAGACAACCTGAGAGTTAAATTTTTACTAATGAAGATGTGTTATTCAAGTAACAATATTTTAGTGGAACGCTAGAATGAAATGTTTTGTCATTATCTAAGTTATCCTTTGTTTTTAGTGTTCTCCATGGCCTGAGATCACATATGTCAATTAATTCACCATCACTGGCTTCAACGTTCCATAGCATTTTTCTCTTGGCGGAAGGGTAAGTCTGGGAAATGAAGGTTGGCTTGTGTTACATTAAATATGCATTCTTTTCATTGTGTTTCATAAAAAACATATTTCAAAATCAATAACTACTTGTGTTTGGTCAGTCTGATGAATTTTATTAGCTGAGGTTTGGATTATCTTCAAAAGAGACTGAAAGGGGTTATAGCTCAGTGGTAGAGCATTTGACTGCAAAAGAGACTGAAAGAGTTTCTTTGTCCTCCCCTTCCCTCCCACCATCCTCAGAAATAGCATTAGTTATCAGAGCATTATGGTCAGTTTTTAGCAACTGAGAGATTATTATCTGCTGTTTTGATTTGCCCTTTTATTGTTCATCTTGTTGATTATCTCATTCACCTTTCATACTTGCACCTAGAGTGTCCGTCATGAGAATAGGAAGCCACAGTTTGTATAGACACTAAGAACTTCTTTTATTCCTTATTCAGAATAGTCCTCAGGTGTTGGGGGTGTAGCTCCATGGCAGAGCACTTAACCTAGCATATTAAAGGCCCTGGGTTCTAACCCCAGCACTGCATAAATAAATGAATGAATGAATGCATGCATGCATAATAAATAAAATAAACTTTCCCAACACTTAATTATTATGGATCTTTTTATCATTAGGGAAAGGAGGTGTAAGATGATGGCTAAAATAAAATTTTAGATTTTTCCCTGGGATTCATTTAATCTTACCTTATTGTCATTTGCTATCAGAGATATTTATAAGTTGGTATAGACATCTCCAGTTTTATTTATTTTATTTTATTTATTTATTTATTTATTGTTTTATTATTCATATGTGCATATAAGGCTTGGGTCATTCCTCCCCCCTGCCCCCACCCCTTCCCTTACCACCCACTCCGCCCCCTCCCTCTCCCCCCGACCCCCTCAATACCCAGCAGAAACTATTTTGCCCTTATTCTAATTTTGTTGTAGAGAGAGTATAAGCAATAATAGGAAGGAACAAGGGTTTTTGCTGGTTGAGATAAGGATAGCTATACAGGGCATTGACTCACATTGATTTCCTGTGCTGTGTGTTACCTTCTAGGTTAATTCTTTTTGATCTAACCTTTTCTCTAGTTCCTGGTCCCCTTTTCCTATTGGCCTCAGTTGCTTTAAGGTATCTGCTTTAGTTTCTCTGCGTTAAGGGCAACAAATGCTAGCTTTTTTAGGTGTCTTACCTATCCTCACCCCTCCCTTGTGTGCTCTGCTTTTATATGTGCTCAAAGTCCAATCCCCTTGTTGTGTTTGCCCTTGATCTAATGTCCACATATGAGGGAGAACATACGATTTTTGGTCTTTTGGACCAGGCTAACCTCACTCAGAATGATGTTCTCCAATTCCATCCATTTACCAGCGAATGATAACATTTCGTTCTTCTTCATGGCTGCATAAAATTCCATTGTGTATAGATACCACATTTTCTTAATCCATTCGTCAGTGTGGGGCATCTTGGCTGTTTCCATAACTTGGCTATTGTGAACAGTGCCGCAATAAACATGGGTGTGCAGTTGCCTCTGGAGTAACCTGTAGATATCTCCAGTTTTAAAGAGTAGCTATCATTTTTATTTTTTTGGTGTACTGGAGTATGAACTCAAGGCCTCATGTTTGCTAGGTAGGCACTCTACCATTTGAGCTACTCTGCCAGCCCAAAAAAGTAGCTATCTTATAGTCCTACCATTTAGCACGTATTTCATATTATAGCTATCCTGAAGCTTGGAAATAGTCTACCAAATGTGAGAGCATATTATTTGACTGTAATGTTTGTTTTTGGATTTATTTAGGTTCTGTGTTTGATCTACTTCTCAAAGGAAGTAGTTAACTATTTAAGTAAGGTGGCTTAAATATTCAAAATGTAACAATTAAGAATAAAAAGATGTAGTAGTTGTAGAAGGAATATGTGTTACTAGAGCCCTAGATAATTTACTAAATTTGAATTTTGCAGTTAAGGATAAAAAAGATAGATAAATTTTATTTATTTATTTATTTTGCAATGGGATCTGGCTGTGCAGCTCAGGCTGACCTTGAACTATTGGACTAAAGTGATTTTTTTCTGCTTCAGCCTTCTAGGTAGCTAGGACAGCAGGCATGTATCACTGCACCTGGTTAAAAGATAGCTTTGGAAAAAAAATT